GAAGGAAAAAGAATGAAGAAAGACTTCGGGAACTATCTGACTCCATGAGGAAAGGAAATATAAGAGTTATAGGAATACCAGAAAGAGAGGAGAGAGAAGTAGGAACAGAGAAAATATTCAAAGAGATAATTGAAGAGAACTTCCCAAATGTGAAGGAGGAGCTGAAAATTGATATACAAGAAGCAAGAAGAACACCAAACTTCCACGACGAAAGGAAAAATACAGCAAGACACATAATAGTAAAGCTCCCAAGAATCCAGGACAAGGAAAAAATAATGAAGCTGGCAAGAGGGAAGAAACAGATAACATTCAAAGGAAAGCCAATCAGGCTGACATCAGACTTCTCCGAAGAAACACTACGGGCAAGGAGAGAGTGGAGGGACATAGTCAACAGACTCCAAGAAAACAGATGCCAACCAAGAATTCTCTATCCCGCAAAGCTCTCCTTTCTCTTTGAAGAAAGAATATGGACCTTCCCAGACAAACAGAAACTCCGGAATTTCATTGCAACTAAACCCCCACTCCAAAAAATACTACAAGGAGTCCTAAAGCCAGAACCTCAGAGGGACGAATAACAATGAAAGAAGGCCAAAAAAAAAAAAAAAGTTATTAAAAGAATAAATAAATAAAATCAAAGGAAAGACAAACACAATGGCAAATACAGATGTTAACATATCAATATTAACTCTAAATGTAAATGGACTAAACTCTTCAATAAAAAGACACAGAGTTGCAGCCTGGATTAAGAAACAAAACCCAACCTTTTGCTGTCTCCAGGAAACACATTTAGCTACAAAAGATAAAAATAGGCTCAAAGTTAAAGGATGGAAAACAATCCTACAAGCAAATGGACCAAAAAAGAAAGCAGGAACAGCTATACTTATATCAGATAAAACAGACTTCAAACTCAAAAAGATAAAAAGAGACCCCAATGGTCACTACATTATGATCAAGGGGACAATACTTCAAGAAGAAATAACACTCATTAACATATACTCACCAAACGAAGGAGCACCAAAATATATCAGACAACTGTTGTCCTCTCTGAAAACAGACATCAGAGAAAACACATACGTAGTGGGAGACTTCAACACACCACTATCAACAATGGATAGATCAACAAGACAAAAAATAAGTAAAGAAACCAAAGCTCTAAATAAGGACCTAGAGCAATTGGGCTTAACAGACATCTATAGAACACTAAACCCCAAAAAAACGGAGTACACATTTTTCTCAAGCGCACACGGATCATTCTCCAGGATCGATCACATACTGGGGCACAAGACAAACATCAACAGATACACAAGATTGAAATCATATCAACCATCTTTTCTGACCATGAAGGCATCAAACTAGAAATAAACCATAAAAAGAAGGCAAGGAACTTTCCTACCTCATGGAGATTAAAAACCACACTACTGGAAGACCACTGGACTAATGAGGAGATGAAAGAAGAAATTAAAAAATTTTTTGAATTGAACGACAAGGAGGACACCAATATCCTAAATGTATGGGATGCAGCAAAAGCAGTAATAAGAGGAAATATATAGCAATAGAAGCTCACATCAAGAAACAAGAAAGAACTCAAAGAAACAACCTAATCTCGAAGCTCAAAGATCTAGAAAAAGAACAACAAAAAACCCCAAAACCAGTAGAAGAAAAGAAATAATAAAAACCAAGGCAGAAATAAATGAAATTGAAACTAAAAAAAACAATCCAAAAGATCAATGAAACCAAGAGCTGGTTCTTTGAAAAAATCAATAAAATAGACAAATCCCTAGCCAGGCTCACAAAGGAAAAAAGGGAGAAAGCACAAATAAACAGGATCATCAATGAAAGAGGAGAAATCACAACGGACACAGCAGAAATCAAAAGAATAATCAGTAACTACTATGAACAGTTATAGGGAAACAAGTTTAACAATCTAGAGGAGATGGACAAATTCCTACAACTCTACAATCACCCAAAGCTAGATAAAGAAGAAATAGAACACCTAAACAGACCAATTACAATTAGCGAAATTGAAATGGTAATCAAAAACCTCCCCAAAACAAAAGCCCAGGACCTGATGGATTTACAAATGAATTCTACCAAACATTCAGAGACGAATTAGTGCCTATCCTTCACAAACTCTTCCAAAAAATTGAGAAGGAAGGGACAATACCAAACACGTTCTATGAAGCCAACATTACACTAATACCAAAACCGAACAAGGACAACACAAAAAAGGAAAACTACAGGCCAATCTCCCTAATGAACACTGATGCAAAAATCCTCAATAAAATTTTAGCTATCAGAATCCAACAATGTATCCATAAGATAATTCACCACGACCAAGTAGGATTCATTCCAGGGACACAAGGATGGTTTAACATCCGAAAATCAATCAACGTTATCCAACACATCAACAAAAAGAAATATAAAAACCATATGATAATATCAATAGATGCTGAGAAAGCTTTCGACAAAGTGCAACACCCATTCATGATAAAAGCCCTTGAAATTCTTGGGATACAAGGAACATACCTTAACATCATAAAGGCCATCTATGACAAGCCAACAGCCAGTATCATTCTCAATGGTGAAAGCTGAAAGCAATTCCATTAAGATCTGGAACAAGACAAGGATGTCCACTCTCACCACTGCTTTTCAATATAATACTGGAAGTCCTAGCCAGGGCAATAAGACAAGAGAAAGACATCCAAGGAATCCAAATAGGAAAAGAAGAAGTCAAACTATCACTATTTGCAGACGATATGATATTATACATAGAGAACCCCAAAAACTCCACAGAAAAGCTAATTCAACTCATCAATCAGTTCAGTAAAGTGGCAGGATACAAAATCAACACGCAAAAGTCAGTAGCCTTCCTATACACAAACAATAAATCTGAAGAAGAAGAAATCAAAAAAACCATCCCTTTCGTTATTGAAACAAAAAATCAAATATTTGGGAATAAATCTAACAAAAGAGGTAAAGGACCTATACAAAGAAAACTATAAAACACTGTTAAAAGAAATAGAAGAAGACACAAAGAAATGGAGAGACATCCCCTGCTCATGGATTGGAAGAATAAACATTATTAAAATGGCCATCCTTCCAAAAGCAATATACAGATTCAATGCTATTCCAATCAAAATTTCAATGTCATTCTTCAAAGAAATAGAACAATTATTGATGAAATTCATATGGAATCACCAAAAACCCCGAATAGCCAAAGCTCTCCTGAAAAAAAAAGAAGGGAATGGAGGCATCACACTCCCAGACTTCAAACTCTACTACAAAGCCATAATCATCAAAACTGCATGGTATTGGAACAAGAACAGACATACAGACCAATGGAATCGAATAGAAAATCCAGAAATAAACCCACAGATTTATGGTCAACTAATCTTTGACAAAGGAGCAAAGACTATGCATTGGAGCAAAGAAAGTTTGTTCAATAAATGGTGCTGGGAAAACTGGGTCGCTACATGCAAAAGAATGAAGCTTGACCACTACCTCACACCATACACAAAAATCAACTCAAAATGGATTAAAGAATTAGACATAAGACCTGAAACCATAAAATATATAGAAGGAAATATAGGCGAAACACTACGTGATTTGCACATCAAAGACATCTTTACAGACACATCACCCAAAGCAGTGATAGTGAAGGCGAAGATAAACAGCTGGGACTACATCAAATTAAAGAGCTTCTGCACAGCAAAAGAGACAATAACAAAAACAAAGAGAAACCCCACCAACTGGGAGAACATTTTTGCACCCAACACTAATGATAAAGGACTGATCACAAAAATCTGCAAAGAGCTGATGAGACTCAACAACAACAAAGAAAATAATCCAGTCAAAAAATGGGCAGAAGAGCTAAAAAGAAACTTCTCTGAAGAGGAAATGCAAATGGCCAACAGGCATATGAAAAAATGTTCAACATCACTTGTCATCAGGGAAATGCAAATCAAAACTACCATGAGATACCATCTTACACCAGTGAGAATGGCACATATTAAAAAAACTAGCAACAACAAATGTTGGCGAGGGTGTGGAGAAAAAGGAACTCTTCTGCACTGTTGGTGGGAGTGCAAACTGGTCCAACCACTGTGGAGAGCTGTGTGGAGATTTCTGGACCTACTAAACATAGAGCTTCCATATGATCCAGCAATTCCACTCCTAGGTATTTACCCAAAGGACACAGAAACATCAATTCCAAAGAACACCTGCACCCCTATGTTTATAGCAGCACTGTTTACAATAGCTAAGCTTTGGAAACAACCCAATGCCAAAAATAGATGACTGGATCAAGAAGATGTGGTACATATATACCATGGAATATTACTCAGCATTCAAAAAAGATAAACACATGCAATTTGCAGCAACATGGATGGCGCTGGAAGGGATCATGCTCAGCGAAATAAGCCAAAAAGAAAAAGAAAATACCGGATGGTCTCACTCATAGCAGGAATCTAGAAAACTTAAATAAGGGACCAGGAAAATGAATAACTATAAGAAAGTGAAAATCAAAATCAACAAAAAACTATGAACCAGAGACACTTTTAGGGGGCAGGGGCGGGAGGGGAGGGATTGGGGTCAGAATGGGGGCGCTGCAATTGTATGGGGAATATAACAATAAAATTTATTATCTAATAAAAAAAAATAAAGAGCAAGTATTTTAAGAAAACAAAAAAAAATAGGAAAAATGTAAACATTTTAAAATAAGATAAACATTTAATTTTCATTAAGCCAGATAAAAATTAAATATATCTTTAGTCTTTGACTTCCTTTGTAAATTCCTTGAGGGCAAGGAATTTGCTGGTTTTTCTCCCCAAACCTCTAGACACTATACACCCCAACACTCATGTAGGCTGTACTTTTTGGTGATGGCTATCACGGCAAGAATAGGAGTTTAAAGCGGCACTGTAATATTTTTAGATATTCTGACTGGTGAATTGCTTAACTATAACTACCCAAGACTTGAAAGTTATGTATTATTTACTCACTGATTCTGGGTACAGGCTGCAAGTAGTTTACTGATCCCCATCCTGGAAAAGAAGAGAAGGGAAATTCATGTATTTCCATCATATCAAGTCATTTAAAACACTTTCTACATAAAGATGTCTCAAAATCGCTGATATTTTATTCTAGAAAAGAAAATCATGGGGAAGAACAAGGTCATGATATAGAATATGGCATCTCCTTTGTTTCTGAACTAATAAGGAGATCATGAGTTCAGTGTCATATATTAGGAAACCTGGCATTACCTTCAAATTTTGCCAAAGAAGAGACGAGAAGATGTGGTATATATACACAATGGGATATTATTCAGCAATCAAAAAAGATAAACTCATGCCATTTGTAGCAACATGGATGGAGCTAGAAGGAATTATGCTAGTTGAAATAAGCCAGAAGGAAAAAGAAAAATATCGGATGGTTTCACTTATAGCAGGAATATAGGGGAACCAAATAAGACATCAGTGGAAAAAAATAATAACAGTACAAAATACAACAAAGCAAAAACAGACAATTATAAATCAGAGACAGCCTGCAGGGAAGGAGGAGGGAGAGGGATCAAAGGGAGAGAGGGAAGAGCACAGGGGACTGAGGTGATGGTGCACGGGTGCATTGGTGAAGGAAATTCTATGGGGACTACACCTGAGGGGGGTGGGGGGAGTAAATACTGTTTAAAAATGAACAATGATGTAAATAAATAAATAAATAAATAAATAAATAAATAAATAAATAAAATAAATAATAAAAAAATGAAAAAGAAAAAAAGGAAAGAGGAGCTTTGTGCTTGTAACTTCCGTATCAGAGCAATGGAACTGGGAACTAGAAGAGCAGGAGGAGCTGCAAAATGTTTACCTCAGGAGAAAATTTCCCTGAATTTGTTACAGTCTATTCCATAAGATATTAGTGTGCTAATACACAATTATATTTTCTGCTGAGAAATTTTGTATACAATTATATTTTCTACTTAGAATCTTTGTGTAAAGCTGTGCTTGTATATGATATTTCTTCTTGAAATCTTTGAGTACTTGGGATAGATTTCAATGGGTAAAACTGATATTTGGGATAAACGTTATACATCTCTTGGCATGGAGCATCCAGCATTCACTGTTGGATACCTTGGTTTGTGAAGCTTAGAGAGTAAATGAACTGAAATCTAGGATAAAATCTGAGAAAAACATTCCCATGGCCATTTAAATCATCCAGAACTAATGAAGGTTTATTCTGTAGTGAACAGCTCTAAGAAAGAAATCTTTGGGTTTTTCTTGAGTGAATGCTTTCTTTGCCCATCAAGATGGACCTCTTTCTGCCAGATTAAGTTGCTAAATGTAACACAGTATATTTCTTCTTGCTTAGCCATCCATGGGGAGAGAGAGCCTTACCTCATTCTGAGAAAAACTCTAGACAAGATGGTAATTATATCATAATTTAGTCATTTGTTTCCTAGATCACACAGTTCCAATTAACCCCTTAAAAACATGTTATAAATATATAATATGTATTATATTGAACACTATGTCACATATTTAAATTATACATTACATACTGCTTGCTAGACTATTAATATTACAAGTATATGTTATATTTTGCTTTCTGTACGCTGATTTTTTTTTAAATATCCCTTTTAAAGCTTATTGATTAAAAACTTGAACAAACTTAAGAATGGTGAGGTTTTAGAAGAGGTAGTTAATTTCCTGACCTGCTATCCTGCTCCATTTAAATAATGTGCTGTCACTGTGACTTTATAATATTGCTATTCTAACTCTGAGATAAAGATTCCATTGACTTTTGTCTTTTAAATAAATCTTTCACCAAATTTCACTTGTGCTAAAATATAACAGTTTATACTTATGTTAGTTAAATTCTATTCTTTTTAAAAAAAATACTTTAAAATATATCCAAGGACATTTTGAATTGCATTGCCATGAGTTTTTTTGGTGTAAGGTATCACCGCTCCACATGATTTAGTAATTTCTGCATTTTAGATGAAGGTATTTATCAGCCATTTGTATAGCTCATCAATAAGTTATTGGCCCTACAGTACAACTGATCTTCAGGGATTGGAATTTGATACATAAGCCACTACTTCAACCCACTTTGATGTAATTGCAACTCTATACTTACTTGTTCACCCATGTAACAGTATCATGATTAAGGTCATACTTTCATAGCTTGGTAATAAGAATATTGTTTAGGCTACAGACCAAAATCTTCCTTCATACAAAACTGATTTTATCTAGCATATTCTCATTGTTTATGTAATTGTTGTACAAGCATGGAAGGAAATTAAATTGATGTGGAAAAAGTGACTATTCAAAAAGTCAAATGTGGCTGCCTCTTTATCACTTATGATATTCTGGGAAGTTACTTATTGATTGCATGAAAAATTGTTCTCATCAGGTATTGCTTTTAAGCTCTCTGGTTTTTAATGATCAAGTCATTTCCTTAAAATTGTGGATATGGCAGGCTCTTTCCCTCATCTCCACAATGGCTTAAATAAAAAGACTGTGTAAGGTCATTTGCAATTTTCTTATTTATTTATTGTGGTAAAAACCATATGAGATTTACCTCTAAACAAAGTTTTCTGTGTACAGTATAATATTAAGTATCAGCACAAATAACACAACAGCTCCCTAGAACATTTTTATTGTGACCAAGATGGTGACAGAGGAGGTTCCTTGCTTTGCTACCAAGAGGACCATCTAACAGTTAACCACAGGAACACTATATCAGAAAGTTCATGGCTCGGGGTGAAACTGGAACATCCCTTGGATGACAGAGATCAACACAAACTATGACAGAGGAGATAGACTAGAGAGTCGTGTTTCACTAAACAGTCGTGAAGAGAAGTGCCAGGAGATTGCAGTCAGGGCCTGGGGATACCAACGCCAGGGCTGTCAGTTCAGTCAGGGCTTCTGGGGAGTAAAGAGCTAAATGGTGTGGAGGCACACACTCTTGGTTGAGGGGAAACATGTAGAATTTGATATGTAGCCCACTGGTGGAATTACTAGTAAAAAGAACAAGGACAGTGTGCTGGACTTTACTCCCTCTCCCTCATCATTTGGGCCTATACTAATTTAGTGAAGTACACTGACAGAACATAGACTACAGAATCTCAAATCTGGATACCCCTGATATCCCAGTGATACTGGGTGCCAGCAACACAATCCAGCCTCCACCCCAACCCACACATCCATATCTCTCCAGGCCCCTCCCCCATGCTCTGACTCAGCAACTGCAAAAACAGGTATAGAAGCCAGCACTGGCCCCAAATTAAAGTCAATTCAAATCAAATTACAGTGCCAATTGCAGGAAAGTAAAATTCATGCCACTCTTTAAGTTATAGCTAGAGATAATTTTAAAATTAGGGAATATATTATATACTTTATATATTACATATTTATATCCAAAGCAACAGAAATATAACACATGGCAACTTGAAACCTCAGGGACTATCATAACATATGGAAAGAACAACTCTGCAGAATCCAAACACATGTCAGATTTTATATCCCTATCAGATGGAGATTCAAAATTGCTATAATTAAGAAACTCAAAGAGACAGAAGAAAGCACAGACAGGGAGGGCAAGGTGATACATGAAAACTCAGAATAAACTAATCAAAGAGATACAGTAAAAACACAGAAAAACAAATGAATGACCTGAAAAATACATTTAATGAACACAAAATAGAAATTGAAGCTTTAAATTAAAAAAAAAATAACAGATTCAGGATGTATAAAGATTAAGAGATTAAAAATTTTAGCAAAAGCTGTAGAAGCAGAATAGAGCAAATGGAGAATAACTTCAAAGATAGTAGTGCTCAAAAGATGCAGGTGGAAGAAGTGAGAGAAATATTAAGTTAAAATGAACCACTTTGAGAACTATCTGACTCTAGCATGAAAGGCAACATAATGATAATGGATATCCCAGAAGGAAAAGTTAGAAGAGAGGAAACAGGGAGATCACTCAATAATAAGAAAGGAAAATTTTCCAAACGTGGGGAAGGACCTAAATATACAAGTGCATGAAGCTTAAAAAACATCCAACCAGGTGCAAAGAGACTGACATCAAGACACATACAGTGAAACTACTAAGTATTAAAATACAAAGAAAGAATATTGAAGGAAACTAGAGGGGAAAAATCAGGTAACGTGTAAAGATACTCCCATCATACTTTGATCAGATTTTCAGCAGAAACACTACAGTCAAGGAGATAATGGAATGCCAAATTCAAAATAAAGATAAAAACTTCCATCCAAGAAAAACTCACTCTATCTCTGATATGAGAGAAGTAAAAGGCCTTCCCAAATAAAATCGGAAGTTGGCCAACACTAACATCCTCTACATGAAATGTTGAAAGAAACTCTTCTATCTGAATCAAAGAGAAAACAAATATAGAAAAAGTGGAAAAAGGAAATAGAATCAGAAAACTGAAGACAAAATGGAAGTGGCAATATATGTATCAGTAGTCACCCTTGATGCAAATGAACTGAACTCACCAATCAAAAGGCACAGAGTTGCCAGACGATAAGAAAACAAAACCCAATGTGGGATATTCTTATTTTTCATGATTGAAACTCTACATTCATTGAGGAGAAATTCCCATTTTTCCTTCTCTAGTCGCTGGAAACTACCATCTGCCATTTCTTAAGGGTCTCATGAAACCTGACATTAGGACATAGTGAGAGTACACTCAGGTGCTGGATACTGTTTCCTGTCTAGTTTGCTCTCCATACATCACCAATCAAAGTAGACTAATTAGATGAGCACATTCTCCTACACTAAATACTAAACTTGTTAAGCATAGTTCAGCCTTATTTGTTTTTATAAATTCCTCAAACCTAGTTTTTTGCCTTCCATAAATATGTAATAAAGTTTAAAATTTTTCAATGGTTAATATTCATTAATATTAATTTTTGGGATATGGTAATAAAACAGGAAACTAAGTGCCATTCACTTAAAAGTTTGTTTATTGTTTCCTAAAGAGAAACATTCATTATCACCTCCTAAAAATATGAACAGCATGTGTAGG